CAAATCTATTTGGAGCTTGCATGCAAGTGCCTGAAGATTACGGTTCCAACCAGGAGCCGGTTGCATAGTATTAGCCAGGCGAGACAGATAGATAAAGATGGGACTTATAGAAAGCAGAACAATACATTATTTGAAATTACGTTCTTTTTGTCTCTTTTCGCTCAGGGTGCTAAGTAACACAGGACATGGAAGCAACCCAAGACCAAAAGAAACCTGTTTGTCTTGGGGTGCGAATTTTCTCATCTGGTCTTGGAATTTTCTCCTTCTCTTCCAATTCTAATTGGAAATTTATGTTAGGGTGTATGGACAGAGCCATTTGTCTATCGAACAGTCGGAAATTGCCGTGCTGTGTCAGCATACCACAACCGTTTACTAGACAGTCTAGCAAACTTCAATGACCTTACAAAAAGTTACATCAAGCCTAGTCCTACAACGTAAAACATCAACCCATATAGTTATGTTTTTGGTCGACGTCTTACTGCCCAAATAATGGCATTTTGTAGCATTTATTTGTTTATTGATATCACGTGACTATTGGACCTCTTATATGAACATGTGAGATTTGTTGAGTCATGTGATAGCAATGCATATGGCGAGATCAACAGGTACTCGACGCGAGCTTGGTGTTAAAAAACCCTCAATAATCTTAAGAAAAAAAGTCATACAGAGTGACAAAAATACATCAGATTAACCCCATGACCCATTCTGACATTGGGCCCTTGCTGTAATACTATATAAAAGACAAGGTATGTAACTTCCGAACACTTCGTTCCACCCATGACCGTAGATTTCCTTTAGCTATTTTCGTCTCTAATGGTATATGATCATATTTTATGGCTTGTTTTACTCCTGAGATATTTTTCTATTCATCAAGCTATCATTGACTATTCTATGTTGCACCAAACTGAAGTTACGAGCTCTGAAATATGCAAACTTTGTCAGTGGACACATCTATGCTCAGGTGACAACCTGTGCAAACAGCTACATATACCAAGTTTGCAACTCTATGATACATCCCTTCATCAATTACAGAACAGTGGTAGATGCAAAAGTAAGTGTTTACTTACCATTAATTCAATTAAACATTAGGAATTGTGTTCCATGGAAGAATTAGACATTTTCTTCTTCACACATACATCCCATATAAGCGAAACTCAGTTTGAAAAATTGTATACTGTGCGGCACAAACTTGAGCGGCTTAATGCAAAATATGATTGGCTCAAAAGGTTAAATTTGAGCAAAGATGTATCTACTTTGACAAAATTCGCAAAATTAGCACATTTCAAAGCCTGTAACTTCAGTTTGGTGCAATGTAGAAAGTTATTACTAGTAATTCAAGATACCCTCTACATCATCAAGTCCCCTGTTGTCCAAGCCTTTAGAAAACCAAACACTTCACTGACTTGTAAACACAATGCGGCTCTAAAAGCTGATAAATCTTTTTCTGATCTTGAGTTAGCTTATAACGTTCACTAAAATGGTGGTCTAAATTTGGAACAAAATTTTCATCAATCATGGCTGTACATCATTCCTCAGCTTTAAAGTTTATTTGCAGAAGATACCAAGTCTGATAATTGAGTCCTATTGCATAGGTTGACATGGTGCCCATTACTAGAATTATGTCTATTTTTCCAATGGACACTGCCAAAAGCAGATAGTGTTTAAGCTGCATTATGGTTTGCATAGAAAGCACAGGATATAAATTATTTTTTTTAAAAACCAAATCCAGAAGAATTTGTGATTCATCCTGCACTTGTGTGCAGATTTTGATTGATTTTGTTTTGATTTGTTGGGTTCAATGACATATTTTCAGCACATGATACATGGTTACCAGTATATCTGTTGGATGAAAAACCTGGAAAGAAGAACCAACCAACAGGAACCTGCTTGCAGGCTCTCACATACCTATGTTTGCTGAGCCCAAGATTTGAACCCAAACAGGCAGTTGAGACACCAGTGGTTGGTAAAGGAGGACCTTGTCTTGCATCACTTGGCCATGCAGGGCTCCAGTTTTTATGGAGTGTCTTTAAATTTTGGATCAAAGGCTGACATTGTGCAAAGGTTAAATGATAATGTAAAAGATATTGCTACACAATACTTGGTTCATAAATTAGGACTGGCTGCATTATTTGGAAATAAATTATCATTTATACAAGCATTGATGATACCATTAAGGACACATTTGGGTTTTGCCATTTCTCAACCAAAAGGGACCTGATTTGTAGTAAGAAGTGCATGTAATTAAAATCGATCTGGCACATTTTAGCTCCATCAGATAGGTTCAGTAACTAGCAAGTAAGGAAAGAGCTGTGTTTGCTAGAATAGAACCTGGAGGCAGTTCTTTAACACATTAAGCATGCTGTCAACCATGGTGATTGTATAAACAAAGCCGAAGGCCATCTCAAAAGACTTAACATCTGTGACCTTCTTAGGAAGGTTGTATTTTATGCTTGTCTATTTGCATGTTATAGGTAACTTGTTCAGGGTTTTCCAGAGTGAAAATCATATTTTTTTTTTGGGGGGGGTAATTACCCATCATGATAGAGAAGTGTATAATGAGATTAGGTGCTCTCTAGATCACCCTGAGAATATTTCTGCAAATGTATGACCCTGTAGCTAAATTTTTTGGTAGGGTCTCACTGAGTGAAGGGATTTTGAAATCTTGTCACTTTTAAGATTTGTGAGCAAGTTTATTTAATGCTAAACAGTACTGTCTGAGATATTCCAGATAGATTTTCAATTCTGAAGGAGAAACCAATTAAACATCTGTCATTGTGGTGAAGATTTAAAGTATCTGTTGTGTGAATCAGTGGTGGGTGCCTACATCGCAGGGAAAGACAAGCCAATAATCCTGGACAATGGCTGGCTTACATATAAACTGTCATATCATTTAGGGTCACCCATCTGGTTGTTATGTTATCGCTTAGTAATGAGAAGGAGAATGTTTACTGACCCATGTTGACTGTATACCTCACCACCATCCCCATCTATAGTGCATATGAGTGGTTTATTTTGGAATGCCAGTTGTGTAAAGACTAGGCTGATAAATCAGCCCATTCCAGTGACAGTATTGATTTTAAGTTTAGGGGCTGATATCACCTATTCATTAAAAGTTGCTCAAATTTGCAGAAAATTTTGGATGCAATAATCTATGTACATTTTATACACTTACTGGTATTTCTCATGGGTATGGAGCTACAATAGGTTGAAGGGTTCTTTTAGTAATATGTACATTGTGTTTGCAGAGCAAATCCAATGTTTGGGGACTTGTAAATCTATGTAGAAATAGCATAACCATCTGTCCAGTGGTCATTTTTAATTTTGCAGTAGATATCTCTGTCACCAATTACCGGCATTTGTTTAAAGTGTATGCAGGTTTGTTCCAGAAAGATTTGCATACAGCAAATGGCACATTTTAATGGACAGGTGAGACTCACATATCATCCATCAATATCAACAGATTTGGTTGGTTGATTTATTGAACTATGTGAACCCTAACTTGAGGACCTCCTTGACCCTAGAGAATTTTCACAACTGGTTATTCAACATGTTAGAGCAGAATTGTCACTTATCTGCTATAGATGTCTGATTTTGTAAATTAATGTATTTCACTCAGGCCACATGTCTCATGAAAAGATAAACATTCAAATTTGACACTAAAATGGGACCTGGTGTGCAGACTGGGCTAATGAATCAGAAGGAGCAGAACTAGTTTCTATCATGATGAGGAGATTGCCCACAGGTTGCTTTCTTCTGAGAAAACTTTCCATTAACACTTGTACTCCCAGGTCCAAGGAATAGTTTCATCTGAGGTAAAGCAATCTGTCTAGAGAAGTTTTAGTCTTTGGGCTACCGACTGGATATAAACTAACTTATGAGTAGTTTTCCCATATGTCATACCATTTTGTTTTGTTTTTCATTTTATATTGAGAACTTTATTTACAACATGAATATTCAAAAAAGATCAACCAATGGAGGGCATGACCATGTGGTTTGAAAAATTTTTAAAATGTTTTGGTTAGTAAAATATACTGATATGATTGAATAAGCAAAAAAATAATGATCAGAATTTTCAGTTTGCAATAATTTTGTTATTTTTTCCCCAGTCTTTTTGTTAACGCACTGTTGTAAATATTATTGGTCAGTCATTAAAAATGTCACAAGTCTGTTTTGCAATTCACAACATTGTCTAGTTTTTATCATCGACCTAAAGAGAATAAGATTTAAGTTGTTCATAATCTAAACATATCAGTAATACAAAATAACCACAGTAATTTCAGCAGCAAATGCAGGCACTGCTTCTAAAATTATTTTTATTCCAAAGTAAAATGCATGACATTGGTACCATGGTAGAAATTCATAAAGTCTCTCTGCTGGTCTGAAACTTCTTGATTTACCTTGAAGGAAAAGTGTCTCCCAATTTTGGGAGCTATGGATAGTCTCTGATGTCTCAGAATTTGATAAGAATGCGCACATCAGGAACTCAATTTACTCCTCTAAAGTAGGTCACAGTTCCCTACTGTTTTGGCCCAGTGATTATGATCAGGCAAAAAACAGCATTGTGATTTCAAAATTAATTTGCACTAGAATAGAAAGGAGTCAGTGTACTTGGTGCAAGCCATAATGGTCTTGTACAGGTGAAGAAAATATTCTGTGATTTTGCTCATTTTGTTCAATGAATCTAGCCCATAGTTGTACTATTCACACAACTTTGACATTATTATCTACTTTGACATGTAAATGGCTCCAAAATCATCACCAGTCAGTCATGACTTGCTATTTCTGCCAGTTATTTTAAGTCCTGTGTGTAGTCCAGTTTGTTGTTAATATCCATAACATACATGCTTTGGGTTTTGCAGTGTTCTGTATTTTTAAATCAGAAATGCATGCCAAAGTTTTTTTAATAAACATATTTTTAGTTACATGTAGAAAAGGTGATGATGGTCAGTGCATTGATATAGTTCACCGTATGATTATTGTGAATTCACCTATGACTATGTGACCACACCAGTGGCCTAAGTGTTTAGAGTGTCTGCCTTGGATGCAGAAGGTCATGTGTTCGAACCCCATTTGAGTCATACCAAAGACTTATAAAAATGGTACTTGCAGCTGTCTCACTCGGCATATACTTTGAGGTGCCTGTGCATTTTGCAGTTGGAGATCAGGGTCTGTGATGCTTGCTGATCAACCCAACTTGTGTGTGTGTGTGTGTGTGTGTGTGTGTGTGTGTGTGTGTGTGTGTGTGTGTGTATGTATGGGTATATATGCATATACACATGCAGTCACACATACACACACATGTATATAGTATATAAAAACTAATTTTTTGAATGCATACATCCATATCTAACATGCATTTACTTTATTGATTAGGAGCCCAGGTTTAATGTAATTGTTAGTCGCATCTCATATTTTCTTTCAGTGTCAGGAGGTGGCAGATTCTTTGTCCAGCTAGCCCAGATGACTAAATATTGTTGGGCTAGTGAAATTTCATGTAAGTTGCCTAATTTTCAGAGAGAAAATAGAAATTTAATTTTCTGTGCATTATCTGTTCTTGTCAGGTTGGTTGAAAATGGAATTGTTTGTCCCTGAGTATTCCTGTTTTAATTGTATGCATGTAGTATTTCATAATGTTGTATACTGAACCTAGAATCTCATATTACAACTTATATTAATATATTTTCAGTGTTTAACAATTGCATAATAATAGGGTTTAATATGGAGTGTTAAAATATATTCTAATTTCAGCCATTTTTGTCTGATCATGGAGTAATTGATTTTATACTCAAATAACGTCACAGGTATATCATATAATACATATGCATTAAATTGTCTAGAAAGTGGAATGATACTGTATTTACTTTTCACAATTCTCAGCACATTGAAGTTAATGATTTCATTTTATAATTTCAGAATTAGCACTCAATATCTTATATTTAAAACATGAAAATAATATATTTATACTTATTCTGATCAGTGGTCCACAGACTAAAATGGAGACGACTGTTACAGTGTCCAAGGAAGATGCAGTAGAGATATTGAATCAGGCTGCCCAGCTAGTGGAGGTCAAGGGCACAGATGAAACAATGCAGGTCATTATGCTTGCATTTGATGAGCCACCAGGTATGGGACCCCAACAGGGATTTCCTTAAGCCATTTTGAAGTCTGGTATATGCAGTATTGACAGTTCTATAAAGAGTATTTTCTCAAATTAGTCCAGAAAATTACCAGTATACAGAGGTCTTGCTAGGATTTTAAAAATTAGAGTCCAGGACTCCCATTTTGGTAAAAGTAGGAATCCCACCAGCAAAAGCTGCAGTCCCCTCCCAGAAAATATTGAACTTTGCAGCTAAAAAAACTGTTGGTTGCTATTGAGTTTAATTTTCACATTCTTTATAACACTGACATGTACAACCATGTCAGCCTATTCTGCACATCTGGTAATTCTGCATAACAATACATAATGTTTGTTAACATTGGATCATGAGTTGTTTTGGTTGAAAATCCAATTTGTATCAAGAAAGAATGATCTTCCTTTAATTAAGGAAAGTGATATTTATGAAGTGTACAAAAATAACCCACATTGCTATTCTAAATGAGTATAAAAATGTGATTTCTAAAATGTCAGTGTGAAGACCCAGTCTATGACCTTTTTGAACTTGTAACCCAGAAAAACCTATTTAATATATAACTTTTAGAATCATACAAATAAATACATTATTTAAATGATAGAATTTTTACCTTAGAACAATCCTGTATCATAATCCAAGCTTCTGATTTTGCAAGAAGTTGTCCTACACCTATTTTATCATCTGCTATCCAGTTTGTCAACTTGCATCTGTGACAGTTTTTCAATAAAATTTCAGGGGTATAGTCTGTTTTCAATTCTTTGGTAATTTTTTTTTTCATAAATGAGATTTTGTAAACACATATATTCATGGTTGTTTCTCTTCAGCATAATAGCTTTTTTATATAAAATAATGAACTTTTGCTAAATTTTTTTACAAGATTGGTTTAGTTTGCTCTCGTCATTTAGTGGCATTGTTAGGTTGAATTCTGTAAAACCAGCTATAAAACATGACCTAGATCACTAGCTGAAATGCTGACAGAAAGAGTCCAAAGTAATGTATTTCATTTCCTTAGCCTCGTGCATAAACATGACATCTTTTCAAAGCCATATGCAGAATAGGCTGTCATATTGCTAGTCATGAAAACATAGGGGTTGTATCCCATTTCTCCAAAATTAATTTTATTTTGAACAGAATATTCTGGTGATAATTGTCACTTTTTAATTATCAAGCATTGCAGAACTTTATTTCATCAGTTGGTCGAAGTCTGTATCCGTTGTGTGCCAATATTGATGACCTTAGATGCGCAGAAAAAGCCTGACGGCGGTGTGACTCCTGTTTGTCCATCAGGGATAGACTGAAATTTGTCAGTCCAAGGAATGGTCTTATTCCAAACACTAAGCAAGGCATCAAACACTTTGTTACACTTGGCTACTATCTCATCCAAACTATCAGTTCTAGCAACTTTAGACTCTTCTGAAGCTCATTAAAATCTTTGTCAATTTGCCATTTAAGAACAAAATACTTGTTCAAATTTGCAAATGATGTTTTGTCCAAGTCTTGATGTATCTTGATTTTGAGGTTGCATGCACTATTTATTTGGCTTCAATCAGAATTGAATACAATAGTGGAAGCTAAAGTTCTGATGTACTCTTATAAGAGTCACATGTACCTCTTGGGGTCTTTCTGCCTCTGAATTCAGTATATTGTAAATATCAGCACATTTTCCCACCCAAGGTGCTAGACAAAATCTTTAAACTTGCCACCCTGCTCTTTCATCATGTTCTTTTGATGTACTTTTATAAATACAGCAGGCACATCTGGGGGTATTTGAACCCCTCAATTCTGTCATTATAAATATCAGCACAGCTAAAATGATCAATTAACACATTCTTACACTCAGTAGGTGGTTGAAGGCAGGACTGGCAAGTCTGTGAATTTGCATGCATATGGAGGAGTCCTGCTATTTGCATGCATATGGAGGAGTCCTGCATGGGTGATTGTCTGTGTCCCAGATAAAAATTTGCATCCAAATATGCATAATTAATTGTTTCCGAGACACCTAATATACAGGAACTGGGAGAAGACAATGTTCTGACATGCTTGTAAACATTCAGGTATCAAAGACAAGAGTTTTTTTTAAAAAACATTAGTCTTTAGTTTTCCATTATGTGCTCTATAACATGTTATTAAAAATATTTTGAGTCCCAGGCAAATCTTGACTGTATGAGGATCAAGTCATGGATGCACAAGACAAAGTCTTAAATTATATGTCTCCTATTAGGCATTGTGTATTATGTTAGGATTTTGTCCAGCCATCCCTCTGTTGCCCCTATTATTTCTGCATAGTAACTCAGATTGTGCACCATTGACAGTTACAAACTTTTTGGATGTTCTTGAAGTGAGGAAAAGAACACTGTCAGTTTTGGTACCACAATCCAAAAGGTCAAGGTCAGTGAAGAAAAGGAAAAAAATTGTTTCTTGACAACAGCTCAAGTTCTCCCTATGTGCAGTTTCCAAACTTTGTTTTGTGGATAGCTTGCGCTTGGAATAAGGAAAAACCCTATAAGTTTTGGGGTCAAAAGTCAAGGTCACTTAGTGAAAGAAGAAAATTGGTTTCCTCACAATAACATTAGTTCTGCATTACATTGATGTATCAAACTTCTGTGGATGACTTGCACTTGGAGTACAGAATAATTCCATTGATTTTGGTGTCAAAATGTCAAAGGTTAGGGTCATTGTGGCTGAAAGAAGAAATATGAGTTGTGTAGAAAACATTCCAACTGCATATAGGACTGTTATACTTTGGACAGGCATATCATATTCCTTTCATGGAAAACTTATTTTGTTTTAAATATTCCCAGTAATGTTAGTTGTAACCAAATAAGGCAGTGGTCCATATTAAAAAGATATGATCTTAATGCCAAGAACATTTGTGCTAATGATGGAAATATTTACTGGCTATTGAGAACTGGGCTTCACACACTTTATGTCATATAGATTTCTTGGGTATATTCAAATTCCCAATATTCGTGGATGTGGTTTTTTATTATATCCATACAGGTACGCATTTCATAGGGATTCTAAAACTGACTATGCAGATTGACCAAGGTCTCCTTGTATCAAGGTGGTCGCATTTACATATTGGGGGCCCCGAGTGACAGTGTTTTAATGCGATGTCTGTTATGGATCACTGCGTTCTCACTTCTGTCTGTGTTGATTCGAGTCTAGGATTCGGTGAATGAGTGGGTTCGAGTCTAGGATTGGTGAATGTGGATATGTGAGAAAGCTTGCCAGTAGCTTCTTGTGGGTTAGTGGTTCTTTTCGGGGAATTCCCAGTTTCTTCCTCCACTATTAATATTGGCCACCATGTATACCCTATCGTCTGCTAAAAAAAAGTGTTAAGCCCAACATTTACGTATTACTGATTGAGTCTGGCTCGACCAACATGGTTACATGAGAAAACTTGCCAGTAGCTTCCTATGGGTCAGTGATTCGTTTTCCTGGTTCTTCCTCTACCTGATAAAATGGCCACCATGTGCTAAAAAATTGTTATTAAGCCCACAATAACAATAACAAAGTAACAGAGCTTGGTTAAAATGTGTTGGTACACTACATTAGAATTCCAGAGTTGTTGAGTACATAGCTAAGAAAAGAATGGTGAAATTGCTGCTTGACAAACAGTAAGTAAACTCATAAAAGGACTTCGATTTTATGCCATTTTATCCAGAGAAAAATTGACTTCACCCTTCACTTGTTGGGATAAGTAGACTTTACAAAACCTGGAGTAGAGATAAAATTTGTGATCTGTTGGAGAAACTAATCTATGCTTGGGGGGGGGCAGAACATGACACTATATTCTTCTCGATAGAAAAAAATGCAGGAGAGTGAAAATGAGAAATTACAAGGAAAGAAAGCAAGAAGTGTGTTGATCACTAATTTAGAATATGATGGAGACCTGGAAGCATTTGAAGAATATTAAATATAAATATTTTGAATATTAGAGTTAA